AAGGGGTGCGAGAAGTTATCAGAAGCATTCTAGGGGCACGGGGTATAGAAAAGGTTGGGAGCCGCTGATCTAGATAATGTTTGAACCTACAGCTAGCTGAAGTCAAATATGATTGACTGGTTGCTAAAAGAGAGACCTTTTATAATTTGAATGCACACTGATAAAACACATTTCTGTGAAGAGGTGTTTTTTTTTTTTAATTATGTCCTCTTCTAGCTGTTGCTTTTCTTATTTTCTAAATGGCCGTGTTCTGATTTTGAAATGCCAAGGTCCAATTTTGCTATAAGGAATAGTCAGGAGGGAACAATCCAATGTCCATTAAAATACTTAAGCCAGGTAGATTCAAAGGAGATGGAAAGGCTGCATTCTACTATCAATTACCTATCCCATTTTCAGCTCCATCTCCCTAGCAACAGTGCCCCAAGTGAAGGCAGTGCCGTCTTGCTCTGTCTCTGCTGGTGGTGAGATGGGAAATTCTGAGCATGATAGAGACATATCATGTATCATCCTTAGATCTTAGGGAAGAGGCAACCTCAAGGGTTCATCTCCCTCAGTGCCAAGTAGGACATTTTTCCCCCTTCCATTCAATCGTGTCCAGTTCTCAGAAACCTCCTGGACAAATCCTTACAATTTTCTTGGCAAGGTTTTTCAGAGGTGGTTTGCCATTACCTCTTCCTAGGGCTGAAAGAGAGTGACTGGCTGAAGGTTGCCAAGCTGGCTTTCTGGGACAGGACGTTGTTTCAATTTAGTCATATCTGCCTCTTGACAAGTTTATACGCAAGTGCTCTCCATGCTCCCCTGTCAAGCACAGCTTCTTTCAATTGTTGGGTGTTCAACTTTGCATCAGTCTTGATGTCATCAATCCAGCATGTTCTTTGCTTGCCCCTTCTTGTTCCACTAATCATTCCTAGCATCATTGTCTTCTCCAGGACTAGACTTAGGACAGGACTAGAATTCCCAAATTCCCAGTTTCTATCCTGATGCCTTAACCACTACACCAAACTGGCTCTTGGGCCATATTAGGTCTCATAATTAATAATTAAGTCAGTTGGAATGCTTATTCCAAAACTCCTAAGCAAGGACCCCAAAAGTTGTAATAAGGCGCCCCTCCAAAAGTTTCTACCCATATGACAAAGGAGGAAGATGACTAAATGCATGGAGAGGGACCTTCTGAATTCTTCTGAGGAAATTGTGTTGGGACTTCATTAAGCTGTTTTCCTGGTCATATCCAGCTACTATTGAGAGACTGGACCATCAAAGGCCAACCTGGAAAACAGTACAAAGCGTTCCCTGCAATAATTGGCAATGTTANGATAATCAATAAATCTCTTCTTCCCCTACCTTGCAGCTTGCCTTCATGTCACTAGTACCGTTCTTTCTTCTGTGAGGGAGAAAGCCATGTGAAGGTTGAACATGCAGCATGTCTTCTTTGTGGAACTCTTTCCCTGTCAAAATAGGACCTCTTTCGACCTTAATGCCATTCAAAAGGCAGCCATGTCTTGGCTTGTCCTCACACATGTTCCGAAGAGGTGAGAAAATGTTTTGATTAAAACTGCTGGTGGCCCAACAATTTCACCTTCAGAAGCTCATTCTGAAGAAGAGCTGGCCTTTCGAAATCTCCCACTCAATTTTAGGCTAGAGAAACTGGCTAGAGAGTTTCTCTGAATTTCTTTAAGGGAAACAGAAATTATTTATTTTTCAAGGGCACAATAGGACACTCGCTTAGTGATATCAGGAGCAATTGAAAGCGTCCCATGAGTTCACTATTGATGGTGTTTTCCCATGGTATTGAATGTTAGCATGGAAAGCCAGGAAGACTGCATACAACACTCATACACACCATCTTGTTGCTAGCAGAACAAGAACACCACCCTGAAATTCTCTTCCCAAAAAAATAATCCCCAGAGTAGATTCTCAACTGTTACATT